TTTAATGCAATAAAATATGTTTAAACTAATTGGGAGAATTGCATGGTACCGATAAAGTCGTGGAAAGCGTGACACCTCTTGCGGGGTATTTCATTGACTGGTAAGATTACAATTGAAAATGGTTTACGCCTATCTTTTTTGATTGCCTGATGGAGTGACAGGTGAAGATGGAAAATGACCCAGTGACTTAGTTGCGCATTTTTTTACAACATGAATAAATAAGGAAACCTGGAACTTAATACACATTAAAGGGTAAGTTAGTTTATCGGCTTGTTTTGTTAATTAATAAAGTAATAATAAAATAATAAAGCATATGGATTGATATATGGTAAATTGTTGTTTGAAAAATTGTTTACATAGGTTATTTATATGCAGTCACTTATTGGTAAATCATGAAAGATCTTTTACAAAACAACTATAAACAGTAATAATTCAAATGTTTATTGATGATATTATACACACAGAAATAAGTGAAAAGGGTTGTTAGAAAGATTAATTCCGGGAAAACTGTCGAATAATTTTCTTAACAAAATAACTTAGTCGCACAAGAAGATCAGTGTCGTTAGTTGAAAGTAAATCTCTAAACTTAATCATATTTGGTCTTTGGTAATATTTTGATGGCATATATTTTTTCGTTCAACGTTAAAGAACGGACAGGTCAAGAGATAATGCATTTCATCACCTAGGTCATTGGACGTACAGAGTGGACACTTCCTTTCATGATGTGGTACCACCGACTAACCTCGATGGGCAGCCTATGATTACCTGTGCGGAAGTGGAAAAGCGACAACCGTTGGGCAGGTAAAAGTACCTTAAGATAATTTTCAATTTGGAGAGTTATGGTATTCTTAAAAAGGCTATACATTCTTCCTTTTGAAGAGGAATCTAAATTAGATGCCCAGTTGTGATAGAACTGGTCAATAAGTGTTTGCTTTACTAGTTAGCTATAATTTGGTGGGTTAATCCATGTATATGAGTGCGCGGTGGAATCAAGAATTAATTTAACATGTTTTAGCCACTTAAAGTTATTGTTTGAGTTTAACATGTATCTGTAACAGAGATAGGATATCTTTGATTTGTTATCGGTCAAAGGCATGTCAATAACAACATAGTTTATTCCATTTAATGTTTGCGTGTAAGCAATTATGTACTTAACATGGCAAACTGCTTAGTGAGTAACGTTGGGTTCTCATATTTCCAAGGCAAATACATTTTAAAAGTTTCTAAAGCAAAACCAGTAGTAATGTTTATTTTAGTACATCTATACCAAGCCCCGGCTGAAAGTGGGGGTTTTCTCTTTCGTATTTATCAAATATCTCAATGGTTGTTTAACAAAGACAATTGCCTTAAAAGGTATGAAAATTAAAAGTAAAATGGTGAAATAATTTACTTTGCTCTTAATCTGAATACAATGATAAGTTTTCTCAGTCGTATATGTAGCATTATGATAAAAAGAAAAAAAAACTTTAAAAAAGACGTAAAAGTAAAACTACTGGCAGGCACAGGAGGTCTACCATGCCCTTGAGACAGCTTATGCCTAATACCTTGAAATTATGGGTCCAACGGAACTATGAGGCACCAGTATATGAATTAATTTTTTTCTTCATCACATCACCGAGTACAATTTTCATGTCACCACACATTGAGAACTAAGAATTATCTTTTCTAATTACAAAAAATGATCAATTACACAACAACAAAAGCATTATACAACTTTCCTCAAAACAAACAAGTCTTGCCCATTAAACCTGCATGATTTTCTTGCAATTTTATAGCGCAAATTGTCTGACTTATTAACACTGATATTTACACAAAACGCGTGTCACTGACAACCAAAATTGAGTAGATAATTGACAAAAATAGATTAAACACCAAAACAATAATAATTAAGCAGAAACAGCTACACATTTCGACAGATAACTTTGTTTTTTAGCTCACCAGAGCCGAAGGCGTTGGGTGAGCTATTAGTATCAAAGGGGGATGCTCCGTCGTCCGTCGTCAGTCGTCATGCGTCAACAGTCGTCTTATTCTCTGAAACTACTAAGCAGATTTACTTCAAATTTGGTCCGTAGCATCCTTGTGACAGTCACACTTGAATTTGCTCATGTCATTCCAATTGGTCCCTTTTAGGGGTCAGCAGAGCTAAAAATAGAAAAACTTTTAAACATCTTCTTCTACAGAACTAATGTTCTTCTACAGAACTACCAAACTATGTCTGTAGCATTCTTAGGTAATGTTTGATCAAGTTTGCTCATATTAATTTGATTGGCGACTTTTAGGGGTCTCTAGAGGCCGCTAAAGCTCAAAATAGAAATACCGTTAAATGTCTATTTCAAATGAACTAATTGATGGATGATCACCAAACTTTGTCTGTAGCATTCTTGGGTAGTCTTTTATCAAGTTTGCTCATATTATTTTGATTGGTCCCTTTTAGGGGTCTCTAGGGCCAAAAATAGAAAAACCTTTAAACATCTTCTCCTACAGAACTTATTGATGGATGATCACCAAACTTTGTCAGTAGCATTCTCGGATAGTGTTTTATCAAGTTTGCTCATATTAATTTGATTGGCCCATTTAAGGGGCCACTAAAGCTAAAAATAGAAATACCGTTAAATGTCTATTTCTAGAGAACTAATTGATGGATGATAGTTGTATAGTTCACAGGAGTGATAGTTGTACATGTTGCGCACACGTTCCGCTCCGCTACACAAAATGGCCGCGAGAGCTATAAATAGAAATATCTTGACCGACTGTCACAGGTCAAACTGCTGGCGGGATTGATCAGTACCATCCCTAGTTGTGCATATCGCCAAAACGTTCCGCCCTACTGCACAAAATGGCCACCAGAGGTATAACTAGAAAAACCTTGGCCTTCCTTCACCGATTAGCTCAATAGGTTGATCGTTGGACATGAATCTTGCGATCCGGGTTCGATTCTCGGACGGTGTAGGTAACTTTCGTTGTAATCGATCATGAAACATTTCTACTGTCATTCGCACTGTTCCTCTGTTCTGGCATGTACAGAAGTTTCAGTTCCTTGCGAAAGTAAAGGCAGGTCAAACCACGGGTTTATATTATTGTAATATAAATCCGTGGTCAAACTGCTTGTGGGATTTCAATGATACTTCACAGAAAAGATCAGTACCATCCATAGCTGTGCATATCGCCGGCACGTTCCGCTTCGCTACACTAATTTGCCGCCAGAGCTATAAATAAAAAAAATCTTGTTTTAGTAAAAATTAATTGTTTAGACTATTTCTCCTACACTTCTAATGGAATAAATGAAAAGTTTGGAATGATATTTATCAAAGGCGATCTTGCGTATATTGCCGGTATATTGGCATATATTGCGGATTTTATTTCGAGACCATGTCACTTTTCAGTGACAGCTCTTGTTCTTGTATTACATTAGGTCATTTTTGATACGCTTACGCCTAAACATATCTTTACATCTAATATAGTCATACAGTAATGCCCTTACATGTTCACGTGACTGTTTATTACAAATATATTTGTCTCATGTTTTTTTGTATTGTAAATATGCAAACTGGGATATATTTTCAATAAAACTTGAAACTTGAAACTAGACGGGGGAGATATGAAATATTCAAACTTCTGACCCGTACAAGGTGTCTGTAATTCCTAAAATATAAACTTTCATTTTAATCACCGGCATTTAACAAATTATTATCGATTTAAATATTTATATACAGTTGATCTTCTATGAGTGGAACTTCGTAGTTTTTCCATGCTCGTCCCTTTTAGCGAGTGATATTGATTTTTATTTTATTAATTATTCCAAAAGGAGAAAGAGGAAAAAAATGATGTCTGTTAATACTTGTTTGTGCTGTTTTGTCGACATATGAATAAAATCCGTACATAATAACAAATCTTGACAACCAAAATTAAATAATTTGACCTTGACGATCAATGCCATGTAAAGCTAAAGGTCAAGGTCACTTCAATATTTAAGAAGTTTTTGTCCAAAATGTGGTTTTGTATAAGTATGCAGATAATTAATTGAGAAATTACAAAGTTGCAATTTACCAATCATTAGTGAAAATTCAATAATTTAACCTTCAAGGTCATACAAGGTCTTACATGAGGCAATGTCAAATTGTCAATGTCATTTAAAGATTAAGGTCAAGGTCAGTTCAACCTTTCAGAAGTTCTTATTGAGAAGGTTGTTTTGTCAAAGTAAGGATAGTCCATTTATAATAAATGAAAATTCAGTCATTTAACCTTCAAGGTCAAGGTCATTAATCAACCAAGGTCAATTTGAGTTTGATATTCATGAAAGTCTTATATTCGTGTCTAAATATGAAGAAAATCCATTCAGTAATAACATAGTTAGTTATAGCGAGTTATGTAGCAAAAAATAATAAATAAATAAAAAATAAAGGAAAAAAAAGAAAGAAAAAATCAATAATTTGACCTTAAAAGTGAAGGTCATTATTAGTAAAGAACATGATCTGTCTTGAAATACTGTCCTAACAGATTGTTGTGTTCAAATTTGAAGACAATCCATTCAAGAATAAAAAAGTTATATATAGTCTCTTAGGGTAAAACAAGATTAAGACATTTTATCTTGAAGATAAATGCCATTTATGAATGAAGGTCTTCTTAATGGTATTGTCCCAAGGGTTATTGTGACCATGTATGAAGACAATATACCAAAAATTAAAAAAGTTATGATCAACATTTAAAGTTTGCGGGCAGCAAAGGCAACGGGAACGCCGACATGACAGTAACAATACCTTTCTTTTGTAGTTGAAAAAATTACGTTTTAACATAAAAGGGTAGTTTGATACAAAAATAGCGTGTGGTTGAGTGAGTGTGTGAGAAGTTATGTAAGTTTAGCAAATAGATTAAGCATACGTCTAAAAATCACAATTAGTTGTGTCCAATAGAATTGCGTCGTTCTTGGACAATTTCAATTTTATAAACACTAACTGCTCATGGTGCATTGTACTTCATAAATTTAAGTTGGTTGTGTTAAAGGAAGTTATTTCCTTCAAACATTAGATTCTAAAGTAGGCGATTATCGACTAGTGTTACATGACACTTTTATAATCAAATGTTAACATAAGTTTTCTCTTTTATATATATATATATTCAAAGGTATATATTTAATACGGATGTTATTGGCGTATATGTGCATTAGTTTCATATTTCTTTGAAAAACATTTTGTTGATATTTACGTTCATAACAGTTACTGAAAGTAAGGAAAATCTGGTTTTTGTTAGGAAGTCAAGAGAAAGCGACTCAAGTAAGTTGAAATTAAAATAAGTTATGGCAATTTTTGTGTTTAGAATTAAATAAAAGTAGTTTTTACATGTCCCCAAAACTAAAAACATTTTTGTTTATATTACACACTAAAATAAATGTTTTAAAATAAACGTTTATTCAAGGCATAGTATAATATATATCTAACGTGAAAGATTTATAGAATGGAGAAAATCACTTAAAAGGGATTTGTAAAATGTATAGTTCTGACAGTACTGCATGTATTTGTAGGAATGATATACAAATATCGAATGCAAATAAAACGGTAAAACAAAAACCGAAAAGAAAAGTGACCAACTTTTCAACTCGCAAACATCTTGAAAAAAAAACAAATAAATAAAAAAAAACGAATGCGCATGAATAACACTTTTAACCCGCAAAATAAAACTTTTATCCTTATATTTAGAAAGATAAGATCATACAAACGGAAACATAATTAGATTAGTAAAATAAAAAATAGGTTTTGGTAGAGTATCGTGATACAGAATTTGTAGGTTTTTTATTCGATGAAAGCCGTCTACGAGTATAGATATCTGCATATTTCTTTCAATTTACTAAGAAGCTAGGTTTAAATTTGTTTTTGATCGAAAATACACTGTATCGACAAGCCCATAACGTGACTCTAGGAGGTAAACATACAACTGCTCGTGTTTATGTATTTTGTATGCATACTGAGATAATCAAATAAACTTGTAAATAGGACAATGAAGTAAAACACACACCTTGACCACATTAATTACTGATAAGCCAAAGTATCAGATAACATTACAAGTCTATTTGAAGGTTGTAATTATCCATTTATAATTTTCATCGTGTTAATCAATAATTTGTAAATGTAATCTAAACTACTGTTATGTTTTTATTTATCAAGTGTTCAAAGCACAAAAAATGTATTAAAATTATAAAAGTTACAGAAAAAAAGAGGGCTTATGATAAAGGCCTCATTTTTTTACTTTTTAAGGTCCTACAAATACAATGTATACTTGTAAATCTAAGGTTTGAAGTAAAGGACAATTTATGGAAAATAGGCTATGCCAACGAATATTTTATTGAGTCTATTGATATTATTTGTTATCATTTGTGTGATATTTTTAGTGCCATTTTAGACTCTGTGTATTAACCAGACAAATGGACGGATGGTATAATTGTGCCCGTATATAAAAACGGCGATCCGAAATTAGTTAATAATGATTATTATAGGGGCATAACTTTAGTCAGCTGTATGTCTAAGCTTTTTACTTCCATACTAACTAATAGAGTTGAAATATTTTGTGGTAAATAATCTGTTATTTCTGATTGTCAATTTTGGCTTTAGAAAGGGGAGATCAACTGTTGATGCAACTTTTATAATACAACATTATTTAAATGATAATAAACGTTTATATGTAGGGTTTATTGATTTGAAGTCTTGTTTTGATAGCACTTGTAAAAATTCATTATGGATGAAAATGTATAGATGTGGTGTACAAGGAAAAACATTACGAATCATTAAGAATATGTATGACAACCTAAAATCATGATGATGATGAAGAAGAAGAAGAAGAAGAAGAAGTAAATTTTATTTAACTTATACATTTACATGTATCTCGTTATACATCAATTTGTAATACATATAAAACATTTTGTCATGGTTGGTATTTAAATGAAAGAGAATAATTAATGTTTCAGTTTATACAATATGGAGAATAAGCTCTAATAAATATGAATCAGATATTGAATAACAGCAATTTTCATTAATAAAGTGTCTAACAGTGAATATTATGAACATTTTTATAGTCTTAAAGTCTAGGATATGATTCAATAAATCATTACTTTTCATATTGGCTAAATAAATAAATTTGCTAGGATTGTTTAGAACTGATTTATTGTTTGACTTAAGCATTTCTATGAATTTGTACATACTGGGTCTATGATAAAAATAACGTTTAATTAATCGAATTCTTAAATCATGGTAAACACTGCATATAAGAATAAAATGATACTCGTCTTCAATCTCAGAGCATTGACACAATTGGCATAATCTTTCCTGTCTATCTATTCTATTCCTACACTATCTACCTGTTTGAATTCAAAGATTATGCAAAGAAATTCTTAAACGCGTAATACTACCCCTTAAATATTTAGATTTGATGGTTTAAATAATTTTCAAAATTTAAATCTGTTTTTAGATGAATATAAAGAGTGTTTAAAACATTATTATTGTTTAAATCTGCTTGCCATTTTTGTTTAAAGCAATCCGAAACTCTTTGTTTAAAATGTACCAAAACTGCATTTATATTTATGTCATTTGGTTTCAAAAATACATCTGCAAAACCATAATTTTCTTATTATATTTTAACATTGTATGTCCAATTACTGACACCATTTAAACATTGTTTTAATGAGTTATTATATATCGTACTTAAAATATTATTTGTATTTGAAATCTTCAACCAATAATTTTATCATTTGAACATATCTGTTTATGTATAAAGGGTATCTTCCTAATTCTCCGTATACAGCACTACTGCTGGAACTTTTCTTAACACCTAAATATATTTGCAAAATTTGAGATGTACACTTTCAATATCTTTTGACTTAGAAAATCCCCATACAGGACATGCATAATTCAGAATAATATGGTGATAGTTCTACCTTATTAATATTACTTTGTAGAACGTTACATGTTTATAAGGCTTTTCCAATAATATATTGATTATGCAAAACAAATGAATCCGTATAATTTAAAACAATTCCTAAATAGTTGAAATCATTAACTATTTTTAATTGTTCATTATTTAATAAAAAAAGTTTTTCGTTCTGTCTCAAGGGGCCCCTTTTTCTAAATATAGCGACATTTGTTTTTGAAGTATAATTTTGTAAACCCCAGTATGTACAATATTCATATAATAAGTATAGACTTGATTGTAAATCTTCTAAAGATTGTCCTACTAACACCATATCATCAGCAAATAGTAAAATAATGACACAAAGTTCAAAAATTGACAAACCAATTTATTCTGTTTTGTAAATACAGTTCTAAGTCCTCTAAAAAAAGTGCAAACATAACCGCAGAATTATTTAGGCTTTGACGAAGACCAATTGCAGTTTCAAAAAAGTCTGAGAATGTGTTACACTACATGTATTAAACATGATTTAACAACAGTTTACATAGCCTGGAACATTTTAAAAAAAATTCCATCAAAATTCCCATGTTAAACAATTTAAACCATTAAGCGTTTCTATAAACAGAGTGAGATCTATAAAAGCGCATGGCAGTCGCATTTTTTGAGTTAAAACATGCTCTATCAAGTTATGTAAAACAAATACTGCGTCGACTGTACTACTACCCCTACGAAAGACATACTGTGCATCTGATAAAAAATTGTTATCATCAAACCATTTTTCAACTCTTCTAGTCACAACAGAAGTAAAATGTTTTCCAAAATTACTAATGAGACTTATTCCACGATAGTTATTCGGGATATTTATGGACCTTTTTTATGTAATGGCACTATAAAACCTTGAGACCAAATTTCGGGAAAGTGACCAGAATCAAAAATCTTATTGAATAAATATGTAATATGCTCAACGATTTATCTGACGTAGAGATAAAATATTCGTTTAACAAATTATCGCTTGGGCAAGATGATTTGTTACTTTTAAGACGTTTAATTGCTGACAGTACATCATTGCAAGTAATAGGAGTATTTAATTCCTCGAAAGTTGCATTATTGATATTAAAATCGCTGTTGCTATTGAAATTTTCAATTTGTTCGATAAATGTGAATCATGTGTAATATGTTGTAAAACCTATTCAGATTTTTTCCAGTATGCTGTTACGTAAGGCCTATGTCAAGTGGGGGTAACTTCGCCATTAATGCTCTCCTTATTCGTAGAAGACTTTGAATTATATTTACAAGATAATTTAAACTCAGGATTATTGATTTATGATATTGTTTTGATTTTATTGCTTTTTGCTGACGATATGGCCATTGTAGGTAAAACTCCTGAAGATTTACAAAAAAAAGCTTAAATCTTTTGTACACATATTGCTTTAAATGATTAGAGGTTAATACCATGAAAACTGAAATTGTTGTCTTTAGAAAAAGAGGACGTATTTTTATCAACGAAAAATGGACCTATAACGGTCAGCAAAAAGAAGTAGTAGACCACTTTAACTACCTAGGTACAGTGTTCAGCTATACAGGCAATTTTTCTCTTAATATTGAACATTTAACTTGTACGGCTTTAAAAGCAATGCACACATTATTGATAAATTGTAAAGACATGGATTTAAAACCCAAATTATTAAGCCAATTGATTCTTTTGTAGGATCAATCCTTTTGTATGCATCTGAAGTATGGGGTTATAGTAAATCAAAAGATATTGAGCGTATTCACTTGAAATATTGTAAAATAATTTTAATTTACCCATTCTATATAAATCGATACGTAAGAATAATTAAGTTTTGGTGCAAATTGATAAATACTGACAATATATTTTTACGGAAAACTTATGAATTTAGTTTATCTGATTATTATAAGGATAAAAAATAGGTATAAAATGTTAAAGAAATGCTAGATATATATATATATGGTTTATCCGAACTTAAAAAACAAAACAAAAAAAACAAACATCGTAGATAGTAAATTATTTCCAAAAATATTTAAACAAAGAGTTATTGATAATTATATTCAAATATGGCATTCATCGAAAATACTTCTGTTTTAGAAGTTTATAAGAATTGTAAAGAATTATTTTTATACGAAAACTATCTTAACATATTACCTAAGGATCTTAGATTTTACATCACAAGAATTAGAATGTCTGCACATACATTAAGAGTACAAACGGGTAGATATGATCAAAATAGAATCCCAAGGAGTGAAAGATATTGTTTATGTTGTAATACATGGATTTAGATGACGAATACCATTTTGTTTTGATATGCCCGTGCTATGTTGACATGCCCATGCTATGTTGACATAAGGAAAAAAATTA